AATCCATGCGTGCTTGGCGGAGGACCTCTTTCAGCTCCCTCTTACATCGCTACCATGAGGAACAAATAAAGGTTGAATAAAATGGGATGGCTTGGAAGAATATTGTGTACGATCCAAAGTAGCTTCTAAGCAAAATTGACTACTGGAGACGAAACTAGGATAAGTGTTAGTGCAACAATCATAACGTTCAAAGATTCAAGGCTAAAAAGGCTATAAAAGTCAGCACTTAAAGAGAAATTCTATTCATTCTCAGATTGTCTCAGTAGGGAGGATAAGTCAATTGCATTGATTTTACGCTTGAATACGTTTGTAGATGAGGTCTGCAGTGCAGTTTCTGGTAATAGTCTAAGCCATCGGGGGATTCTGTAAAACAAACTATCAAAAACCCAACGAAAACGCTTCCTGTAAATAAGTAAATAATGAATGTTAAACCCACCATATCTGTTTGTAGGTCTAAAAATCCAGTATTTACTTGGGGCAAGTCTCAATTCTTTGTGCAAAAGTCGAAAACCAAAAACGAGATCAAAAAATATTCGTCTATGTTCTAAACTTTTCATTGTCAAAAACTTAAGGCGATTTTCGTAGCTCGGCATATCGACGAAATTGAGTTTTCTACGACACCTCAGATACAGAATACGAGTAAAAGTTTGTTGCACTTTTTCCAGCTTCAAAATTTATTTCTTCAAAAAGGGGTTCCATATTACAGAACAATATTTCAAATGAGGTAACACGTAAGCTCGGTAAAGGCGTTTGAGGATCATCGGATTGTCGGTATGTACGCTACGAAAAATCGCAAATATAACCGAGCAAGCTTTATTAACTACATTATCAATATGAGCAGAAAAATTTAAATCGGAATCAATCAAAACCCAAGTCTTTGGCGGTAGAACAGTTTCTCAGTTTGTTTCCATTTATCTCATAGATTGGATTTTCAAGGTCTCCAAAATGCATGACAAAACTTTTTTCAAAATTGATAGGAATGCCTAAACAAACCGCCCAATGCCTCATTTTCTCAAGAGATTTGAATTGAAATATGGCATGAAGAAAGTGATCAATGCCCAGCTTGAATACGCTAATGTGTGTAAAGCTGCTCGTTGGTCAATGAAGGAAGATTTCTGTAGGCATCAATGTTTTGTATTGGAAAGAGCCCTCCAACAATCGAATAAAGCGTGGTCTTATCGAGTTTTACGCCAGCGTGAAGTTTCAACCCAGCTATTCCGATAAGATGGAACGATGACTAGCAGTTGCACCGAAGTCAAAACTCTTGCAAGTGCTTACTTCGCCGAACTGTATGCATCCTGCGATCCCGACCGTTCGCACATTCCCCTACCGTCCCTTATTCCCCGATCCACGGCCCACATCCCCTGACCCAAGACACACCCGATCACCTCCGAGGAACTAAAAAAAGCAGTCTCAAAATCCGAGGTAGAGCAGCTCCAAGCACTGATGGCGTTTGCACGAAAGCTGCTAAGTGCTCCGTAGAGGCCGCTGCTCCTCAATTAGCGAACATCATCAACCGACTGTTTGAGGACAACAATATCACTGCAGATTTTGCCCATGCCTCCATCATACTCCTTTGCAAAAAAGGAGACCGCTACAATATCAAGAACTACCTTCAATTTCCCTGTTATGTCCAATTTCCCTGTTAACCACGATCTATAAAGTCCTGAGAAAAGACTATCCAATCAAGTCGAAGCAAAATTTTACAGATTTTTGTCCATCGAACAAGCTGGAATTCGGCTAACTTTCTTAACCACTGATCATCTGCAAGCAATCAATCAGCTAATTGAAAAAACTGATAAATATCACCCACCACTTGCCTTCCACTTCCTTGATTTCCAAAAGACCTTTAATACCATTCATTTTGATGCGATCTGGAAAGCCCTTGCCCACTTCCAAGGACAGTGACACAATTCCGATATTTCTCCTTTTTTTATTACAATTTCTGATACAACGCCTATATCAAACAGCAACTGCCTCACTTCAGCTTGAGAATGACAATATTCAATTTGAAGTACAGAGAGAAGTTCGCCAAGGAGATGCATTGTCACCGCTCATATTCATCACTTGTCTTCAGTATGCAGTTGGTTCTATTTCATGGAAAGATGAAGATGCTTACCGGGACAACTCCATTACTTTGCTTTGCCGAACGTTGTGCTTACAGGGCATAATTAGGTCGACTGCAGACAGAGGCTGAAAAACTTCTTAATGCGTGCATCAAGTCGGTATTCAGATCAACGCCAGCAAAACCAAGTGGATGGGTGAAGACAGTGAAGGAAGTCGGACGAATTCGTCTATTACATTGATCAGTAACGTCGTAGAACGCGTAAATTCCTTTATTTGTCTTGATCAACTGATCCAGTGTCTACGCGATCATGATAAAGAGATTTCCAGACGCACTGGAATAGCCAGGAACACCACTGGCAAGTTACGAAAAATTTCTCTCTAACAAGAATATAGCTGTGCATCTAAAACGTAAGTACTTCAACAGTGTGGTACTTCTGACTTTTTTATACGGATGCGAGACATGGGCGGTAACTGAAAGTTCGCTGATGAAACTCCTCTAATGTCAAAGAGCGATGGAAAGATCAATGCTTTGCTTTCGATAAAAAGATAAAAAACTGCAAAATGGATTTTCTATCACAAAACTGAAGGATGTGATTTCAACAGCTCAGCGAAGAGAATGAAGATTCGCAAGAAGAATATCCGTGGCAGAAGGCAAAGTAAAGGACAGAAATTTTGACATGCTGGACACCACTTACGGGGCGACGTTTTGGTGATGGTAGACCGCAAATACAATAGGAAGACGATATCCGAACGCTCTACAAGAACTTTAAGCCTAATAGTCCATGGCAAGAACAAAGAAGAAACTACGGTTATTGGAAACGACTAGAACGTACTTTTGCGATCCCACTAACTGATTAAAGCTACAAATCCAATCATCACGGTATTTTTGATCATGTCGTAAAGCGTTGAGAATGAGGAAAAGATAAAAGATAAAGACATTTCGTGCCGATCTCTGCTCTCAAACCGTAACTCTGCGTTTTTAGCTCGCAAGCTCTGATTGGGCTTCCGTCCTTCTGATAGACGACATATCATAGTTTGGTGGAGAAATACAGAGTTACACAAAAGTACAAAGTCATGAAAGTGGAGACTTATAATATTTCAGTTTGGGACTTCAAAAATGCGTGGCTCGCAACTGCACCATGTGAGACTTGGCCCCTAAAGCTCCACCTAATCAGAATTTCTATCTTTGTTTAATTGTGCGATAAAGTTTTGGCAACCTAAGGCTGTTTTGAGTCTTTTGACTCCGTGAATCTGGTACAACTTTCATTTTTATTTAGTGTACCAGGTCTTTTCGCGATGTTTGCTCTGTATTTGATAGTCTGCTGTTTCAAATGTGATTGTCGATGATGTTTGGTATTCGTGATGTGCGTCATGTCAAGTGCGACTGACAGGAATATTGATTTTTTTTACAGTTTTTTCGAGGGTGCACGAAGCATGGGGAAACCTTAAAAATGGCAATTAAGATTCGACGATTGAATTTATAACAACAGAAAATCTTTGATTAACATTAAACTTACCGAATTCTATAATTTCGGACTGCCGATTTCCTATACGCTCTCTCCGAGATGCAGCAGATCTCTAAAAACTGAGACAAGCTAGCTCAATGAACTCCAACGCAAAGCATTTTTTATTGTTCGCAGAATATCAGCCTGATTTTCGAAACAAAATCTCGAATTTTTTTCCTGGATTTCTAAAACTATCATGATTTTTAATGAAACGCTAGGCGTCTACCTTTTTGTGCGTGTATGTGTGTATGCCTGTCTGTCATGAATCAAAGAGAGAGCTGGAGCCAAGCTATCGAGCTACAATTTTGCATAACATGCCGTACCAGCATGTAAGCCCACCATGCACAAGGACGAGCCGGTCCGATAAGCGGGCCCTTCAAAATTTGCGCGTCAAACGGGTCCACGCGGCTTTTGGCGGGAAAAACTAGATCACAAATTCAACTTTTTGCAAAGTCATGATTGCTTGACAAGTGAATCTGCACTCTACGAATTTTAGCTCAAAAACTTTCAAGAAGCTTGCTCTTTTGTGAAAACAGCGTCAAAAAAGTAGTGATCCCGTGGAAACTCGATTTGTCAAGGTTTTACCTTGATAAATGAAGAGATTTTTGTATGGAAATGTAGCCCAAGATGAATATTATCATTATGACGATTATCAAGCCAAAAAATTCAGTAATCCATTTAAATTCGCATTTGTTCTGCTGCAGACCTACTTCTTTGATTTTCAAAGAAAAAAGAGGAAAACTTTGTTGCCCTGACTGGTACAGAATGTTTCAATCTTACTACTGCCACAAGTGCTGTTTATACCTTTAAAAAAACGCCAGATTTTTGTACCGCATTGTGATTTTCTTTTCAACCTCTATAAACCTCAAAAACTGGAACCCACAAGTTCTGGTTAGCTAATCAGTGAATACGAGTGTAAGTAAGCTAACTAATTTGAACTCGTTGATGAATACGCGTATGACATTTTGTGCGTACCTACTCAGCGGTAGGCTTAGTTTTCAACAAGCGGACTACAAGGTGTTACATTGTCTTAGCTTCTCTACGTGAAGATCTCAATAGTAATGCAGAAGACACTAGACCGTGAGGAGAGCACTACCTAGTTGTATTGGTTTTTTCTTTCCAAAAGAAAAAGCTGTTGATTATTGTTGTGCAGCCGCACACGAAACCAGCGATTGAGGAGAATGAACCAGCGATTGAGAAGAATGAAATATGTTGATCTGTTGTTTATGATATATGATATAGTCCTGTGACTATACTATATAGACATTTCTTAGTAAGTATAGTTCATTCTTAGTTCCTTGTCGTCAAGTAAAGAACTCGGTCTCCAATCGTCTTCCTACGCTCGCCATGGCAAACACAACAACTGGCGATCGGACCCCGAACCCGAACCCGAACCCGACTCCCAACATGGACCCAACCCACATTCTGATGCTGCAAATCATGGAGCTGCGGAAAGAAGTAAAGAAGAAGCAAGGATCGAGCGAGGATTACGTGATGAATGCATTCGCTACTCGTCTACCAAAATTCAATCAGGACCCGAACTCAAGCTCGGACACGGACACGATCCACCTTCAAATGAAGCAAATCATGGAACTGTGGAAGTCTTGTCGAGAACCCAAGGTTGAACTGACGAAGCAAGGATCCAACGAAGAGTACAAAGACTACTTGGAACTGCAGAATCACATACAGATGATCGACAAAGCCAAGGTACCTCAGGTCAGCGTGAATCAGATGAATGAGAACCCGCAAGTTAATGCGATGCAGCAAGACGAGAAGCGGAAGCCATTCATCGGTCACAAGCCCAGAACACATCTTTGTATGAACTGCGGAGCGAAGACCCATAGGACCAGGAAGTGCGAGAAGCCGATCACTGAATGCAACTATTGCAAGAAGCGTGGACATCTAGAGAGATACTGTCTACGTAAACTATTTGTCGATGAAGCCAAGGACGTCCATCCTGTCGTCATCTCACCGCCTAAAGAGACGAAGTCGTACTGCAATGTGAAAGCCAACAAACAAGTATCGAGTTACGACTTGACTGTGGAGCTGAAGATCGCGACACATGGATCAAGATTGGCCGACACAAGCTAAAGAACCCGAAACATAATTCGACTGCTAATGGGACCAGCATTACATGCCATGGACACGGCACATGTGAGCATGCGCTAAATGGCATCGCCTTGAATGGTACCACAAATGTACTTGATGGACCAGCTCTACTTGAAGTGCATTGGAACCAGAGCGACTGTGCCTTTCACAGTGATATCGGCTGTCATAATTTGAATGCAATGACCGCTACGAACTATACACTTGACAAGAAACAAACTCACCTGACAACACAGTTCGCAGAAGTGTTTCAACCCAAAACAGAAGACGGCTCGAAAGCAACGGCTGCCTTTGTGTTCGAAAAAGAGGATGAGAGCAAGATATTCGGCAAAACCCGTTCAAAATCCAGTCAATTTGGAAGTGTCGAGGTACCTGTTTCTTATAATATTACTCAATTCAGGACAGCCGAAATCCGCGAATCTGGAAAAGCCAGACAAGTTCGGCTTACTCACCATCAGCAGTGCAATAAACAGGCCAAAAGAATCGTCGACAACTTCCAGTGCCTAGTATCCAAGCCGAAAAGGGAGGAGACGTTAGCCGAGGCAATGCAAAAGTTCCCCATGTACTGCGATATAACAAGCCCAACTTTGGATGATTTCTCCTTTGGTGAAATGTTCATTAAATATGAAGTTCACATCGCTACAGGTCCACTGTGCTCGGCTGACGAGAAGCATAGTGTGCGACGTAAGAAGATGAAGTATCAGCTCAGTCCTCAGCGCGGAAAGGACCCACCATTTCACTTAGAAGGGGAGGTGTTGTGCAGCCGCACACGAAACCAGCGATTGAGGAGAATGAACCAGCGATTGAGAAGAATGAAATATGTTGATCTGTTGTTTATGATATATGATATAGTCCTGTGACTATACTATATAGACATTTCTTAGTAAGTATAGTTCATTCTTAGTTCCTTGTCGTCAAGTAAAAGACTCGGTCTTCAGTCGTCTTCCTACACACGCCATGGCAAACACAACAATTATATCTGGAACCAGGTCTCTGGGAAGACTGGAATTTGTTTGGCCACTATGGTCACGATTACTGATAATTGGCTATCGCATATCATTAAGAAATTACATTACACTAACCGCAGAAATTTTTGGTTATGGAGCTTTGCTCAGGCCAACAGCGATTTTTATATAAAACCATCTGGTTCTCCCGGTCTAGCCCTGGTCACGGTTTCAGCTGATAATTGCTTTAACCCCCCCCCCCTCCTCCCCCTTCTCCCCGCCTCCGCTTTCCACCTAGCTATTATACTGCGATGCAAAGGGCTTCTGTATCAAATTAACTCATCCGCTGTAAGCTCACCTTGGATCATCGCACCCTTCCTACTGCGAAAATCGAATGAACTCTACTGCTATTGTTTATATGAAATCATATTGACTTGTTCGCACATGTTGAGAGCTCATTCTTATGCCAAAAATCAATAAATCAATAAAATGGCCCAGCGAATCGCCGCAAAAAGTAGCGCTAAACCTCCGGGGTCGAATACATATGTGTGCAAACTTCCAGCTCAATAGGGTCATTGGCGGGCGTTTCTATAACGAACGAACAAATAAACAAACACACTTACAAATTTTGTGTTATATATATATATATATCAGTGGCGTACCGAGGGGGGGGCGGGGGGGGGGGGGGGGGCGCGCGCCCCCCCCGAGAATGGGTCGCCAAATTTTTAAAAGTTACTTATATGGGTTATAAAAATGTGCAAGCGACTTTTGAAAAGCACCCCTAAAATTTTTTTCGGAGTGCGTGGCTAACGCCACGCACCGTCATTTGAAAAAAATTTTTGTCGCGCCCCCCCCCCCCCGAGCGGAAATCCTGGGTACGCCACTGATATATATATATATATATATATATATATATAGATTCAAAGTAATGTCAGCATATGTCCATGGCATGCGATTGAGCTGCTTATTAGTCTTCACGGCAGAAGAGGTTACTTCAGCCGTTTTATCAATAAAGTGAGAATTTGCGTTGGCCAATACACTACAAGGCGGTTATACCCCTGAAGATTTAGAGGCGCTGCAAATCAAGTACTCATGCCCAGGAACTTTAAATAAGCGTTGCCTCAAAGCGACAATACTCATGACAATGAAAACGGGCGTTCGTCCAAAAAGTGCGAAGTTCAAAAAGAGGCCAACATTCTTTCGACTATCTGCAAGCGGAGCGTTAGAAATCCACGAACTATTTTTCTGGTGCCCGCTTGCCTATATATAGCGCAACCACCTTTTTCTGTTTAGGGGGTCACAAATTGAATTAGCTAAACTAAACAAGCTCCATAACATTAGAGGCAGCATAAACGCGGACTTCGAATCTGTTTTCCATATCTGCTTAGCGCCTATGTAGGCGATGTTATGATTCGAAATCAGCGTTGAATGTTGCATTGATGGTGTGCAGTGTTCACATTGGCCGCTTCGACTTCTAACCAATCCCAGCTGTTGCAGGGGATAAAAAATGTATGTGATTTTTTTTGATACAATAGAGCTAGTTTCAAACGGTTTGTAGACATTTACAGCCCTCGAAAGCAATAAAAGATCTCAGTGCTAATTCGTTGCACTAAAATTTTCGTACGATTGCAATACCCGCTGATCTCAGCAAGTTTATTAAAGTTACAACAGTGGCTTCAGTCTTGCCATTGCATTGTCCATATAAGGTTTCAGCTTCTAAAATTTTGTAGATCTTCAAGAGGTTGCTTTAACCTTAAATTACCATTTGCCAAGGTTCTCAAGGTAAAGAAGTGATGTTTGATGAATACGAATCTATGGGTGATAAAACTACCATAGTTTAAAATCTGCATCATCTTCGTTCCAAACTGAATTTTTTTTCAAAATGCAGACAACACTGAAAATTCACCTAAAAGTAAACTGATGAGTACGGTTAAGCAAAAAAACTTTTTGGGAGTATACTGACCTCAAGGTAGCAAGAATATAACCACAGATTTAGACCAAGTAAAAAAACGTAAGTAGAAAAATTAACTGGAATTGATATGACTACAGGTTTAGACCAAGTTATGGAAATAAACTGGAAAATGAAGTACGAAAAGAGAAAGGCGCGCTGGAGCTCTACAGGAGAGTTTAAGCTACAACAAACTTCGAAAAACATGTTCGATAGCGAAAATATCGAACAAAAAGTACGCTGGAAGGGTTTGGATGAAATGGAGAGACCGGGCTGAGAAGGTTGAAAAGGTTTCTTGAGAAGATTCTCAGGTGCCACGTGCAACCGCCGATCAACATATAAAGTGGTGAGTGCTGTTTGTGTACTCAGGGAAAAGAGCAAGCTCAATTTGGAAACCGCTAGCCTCCAAGTATAACTTACAAGTAATGACTGCACGAGTCTCTGGGCAGGATTCGCTCTAATTGACAACATGTGCAGTTATATAGGACAGGACAGGATACGTGATGCACTGATGCAAAGAGGAAGAGGAAAGCGTCATTGCAAATGTGGTGTTAATGAAGACATTGCCCTAGATCTCAAAGTTGTGAACTTTGTGTAGAAGAGCATACACTGGATAAGAAAGCGAATGTGAAGACGAAAATTTCGAATTACAACTCCGACTACAACATATAGAACTTTATAGCTACGCTCCGTATAGCTGTCAAGTTCTACGTGTTCAAGTTGTTCAACTACTTTGACTCGAATTTAGGCGTCGTACTTGTAGGAGAGCAGCACGCACTACTTGCTCGAAATCAACGTGTATCAGTCTTTGCGACAAGGGGAGCATACTTGGTTTCCGCGACTTTATAAATGAAATGTATGGCATGACACTCGTATTGAAGCACTGTTCCAACTTAAATCTCCGTCTGCTAATCATTTCTTTGAAAGAAGTTGTGAGAAATTTTTGTGCCAACTCTGGCCGTTTGAGGAAAACACGATCGGGTTGGCCATTACTTCTGGTACACTGTGGTGTAGCGGTTAGTGCGCTCACAAGATGATGCGGGCGTAGTTCAGAATCCTTTAGCGTTTTTTAGTTTGCATTGCCTCAATTAAACTTTTTAAAAGCTAGGCATTTTCGGAATAAATGCATGCCCTTACTCTTCAAAAATATGGTATGGGAAAATGATTATTATCCGGGCTAAAAAACTGTATCCACGAATTGTAGTTCGAGTGAATTTCATTGAACGAAACAAACAAGCCTCAACAAGGTGCACTTGATGAGCATCCCGGACAATTTCAAGCTCCAATACAGTACTGCTTTTCGCGTGAATTATTGATGCGATAATGCCAACTTCAACTACTTGTTCTTTATCCGCTGCGCTCACTGCAAGCAACTTCTATTTTTCAATCACTTTGCCATATATTCCATCACTGTGTTCAAAAGGCACTCATTTTATTTTCGTTTATCTAAGCAACTTTCAACATGATTATAGGAAACACTTAAATAAAGATGATTTCTCGTCAAATCTTCAAAGTAAGGGCATGCATTTACCACGAGGATGCCTGACTTTTGAGAAGCTTGATTGAGGCAATGCCAAACCAAAGAACATAAAGGAATTTGAACCTACATCTGCATCATCTCTTCAGACTATCGCACTAATCACAACACTAAGCGATCCATTGGTATTTCCCTTGGGCGGCCAACTGGAGCGAAAATTCCTCAGTTCTTTCCGAGAAGCGATTAGTAGAGAGAAAGCCAGATAGAAATCAGCATTCCAAGACGAGTGTAACGCTATACATCTCGTCTCAAAACGCCACAGACGCCGAGTGTCCTTCTTGTGAGACTAAAAAATCCGAAAACGCTTTGCACACAATTTTGAACAAGCTTGACCTTGTTCTTTCTTGTACAAGTGGCCAACAACCCTATCAGATATCTCATATAAACACATAATATATTGAATACTGTAATATATTAAATAAATATATCACATGTAGAGATTGTTAAGCACACGGTAAAACATGTTTTGACAACGTGTGCAAAGCATTTCCGAGTTTTTTAATCATAGAATGGATGATAACTGCCTGTTGCTTCAAAATTCCGATGTCCCATGTATGTGCTTATAAGATCATCAGCACTAGATTCGCTTCCCAAATGGAGCAAAAGTTGTGATATTGTGCTAAGGTCACACAAGGGACAAATCATTTTACGGCAGAACTGCTTTCAACAATGATTTCCATAGATGGACTAAATTTACCAAAGTTTGATGAAAGCATCATGCAATTATAGTGTGACTTGTTTTACCGTCCTATGTATAAATACCCTGAGCGCAGCTTCACTCTTCAATGGAGCTCTACTTGATTTTTGTAAGTCATGCTTTCTAGAAGGATGGACAACATTTACAGCTTTAGGCGCTGATTCTTGCTTGTAATGCATTGGATGTCGGAGAAAAAGAGGGTAAAGCTTTTTGCAGTCTTGTTTTGCAAGAAATGACGAGGAACCGTTTCATTGAGAATTCGCTGGTCAGTTTGAACCTTTATAGCTACCGTTTTAGAAGATTTTTGCAATCAGCAGTACAAGCAGCAGTATTGCACATCAAAAGCCGTTTTTATCCGTTCGTTGTGTACACCGTTTAAAAGCCGTTTTTATCCGTTTTTATCCGTTTGTTGGGCAGACCGTTTGATCAAAGACTAGTTTACACAGAAGTTCAGTTATCTGCAAAATTTGAAGTCAAAACCTTACTTGATTTGGCAAAAAAAATTCAAAGGAGCAGTACTGCAAGTTAAAAAGGCAACTACTCTATGATTTTGAACAAATTCTCTAGTCAAAGGCCACTCAACAAGCAGCAGTTACAAAATCTAATGCATTGAGCAAAACGTACTTCTGATAGCCATGCAATTTGCCTCAAGCCACTTTAAAGGCAGTGTCTCACCAAAATTTAGTTGCATTTAGATTTTTGCATTTTGCAAGCCTGTTGGACTCTGTCTAGCACTGTATGAGCTTAGAATCGCACGAAGCTCTCCAAAAACCCGTTTTCTGGAGGCCCTGCAGAAGCAACGTGGACGAGTTGTACCTTCCAACTTCATGGAGGCTGCAGCCTCAGCCACAGTGGCAGCAAAGGGGAGGTGGATGCTAAGTGGAGTGACATGTTCAAACGCGTAAAGGGGGAGACCGAAGGAATCGTCCGCGCGTACCAAGTCGCTCTCCGCGTACCACTTTGAGTGAATTTTTCTCAGCGTGGAGGAGGTCAAATCGAGTCGGACTTGTTGCAATGGCCTATTTAGAAGTCCCTATAATAGAATATGTGAAGATCCGCGCAACCTCAACTTTGGTGAGACACTGCCTTTGAGTAGGCCCATAGTGATGTGGTTGCTATGTGCCATAGGCCCGTTGTTTTAGATCTAACAATAAGCATTAGACAGTGCACAAGACAAATGGGTTTTCCTGAACAAGTTCTAATGCGCATGGCGTATATCTGCATACAACGAAGTGAAACGGAGGTGATACTCCGCTCAAATTACCAGAAGCCACTCTCTTACCTTCGAGAAAAGCACCTTTTAGAAAAAATGATTATTTTATCAAATACTCGAGTTTGATGTAATCCACCTTTTAAATTTCAGTTCTGCAGTCCCGATGCGTGGTTGGCGAAATATCTATGGGAGACTCGCAGTGTCGAGAAAGAAAGCAATATGTTTTGGATTGGTTTTGATGACAGTGCGGGTCTATTGGTAGTCATGAATGTACAATCAATGTATGTTTGTACTGTTTTTGTACGAATTTGCGCGACACGCGATTTCAGAGATCTGCCTATGACTACAGAAGCTATCACCTATGCTCACTCACCCGGTCACGAACATCACTTGAGGAAGGTAAGAGCATAGTTGTAGAACTTGCTGTAAGTTGTAAAGAGTAAGTGCTTGCTTCAAATTTGAAATGGAAAAAGCAACCGGTTCAAAAAACGTGAATTTTTTTCATCTATTTACCAAACATTGAGACATCATTTTTACCAAACATCGAGACTTTATTTTTACGATTTGTAACCCCTATTTCGGAGACCTCATTTCTGCTGCAGGGGTGCCCATGAAATGTACACTCTTTTCTAAAATAAATAAAGCGGGTAAACTTAAAATCAAAAACTAACGAACTTGGGATTTTTTGACTGCTAACTAGCTATAGCAACCTTCTGTGGTTTTGAAGATGAATTTTTCGAAATGGTTGCAGTGGCGTAGAAATTATGTCACGTTGTTCTCTAATACATTGAGAAGGAAAACTTTACAATTTGTGCATTTACTGCTTTTTCTATTGATAAAAAGGAGCGTTTGCCGCTCAAAACATACGTCTATTTTAACGCAAAAACCAGGAAACCAAAATGACCTGGCCGATTAGAAAAGGTTATACCATCGCATAGCTATGATATCAATATATATACATATACAGGGCATCCCAAAAGTAATTACACATTATTCAATCGTCAATATCTCTCTTCTCAAGGGTCTTTTTTGCCAGTCAAATACCATTCTGTGGAGAAGGCTTCACTTAGATCTACAATATCAGTCGAATCACCGATCCCTTTGCTACCGTAAGGTGACGGCAAGAGCTTCCAGCACAGGGCTTGGCATGAGGTGGCTTTTCGATTTTTAAAAAACGAAGTCCCTGTAGATTTCGGCACAAAAATACGACATCACCTATGATGCAATAATGAATGGATCAAAACAAATAAAAAATAATGGAACAAAAAATAAAAGCAACATCGAACAGGCGGAAAAAAATAAAGATCTCCGTATCTCTTGACGGCATGCTGTGGCCGGCACGCACCCTTGCGCGCTTGGAGCAGGCTTGCCGCCGCCATACAAAATATTTGGAGGGCTGTAACTAGGCGAAGAAGAGGGGTTTGGATGATTCATTGACTTGAGATTCAAAATTCAGTTGTAGGGCTTTTGATGTAGGACTATGGTTAAAAATGTGAGAAATTAATTTGAAGGAAGGAAAATACATGACTTTTTCTTTTTACAGCCACCTGGACAGCTGTCTGAGGTGGCTGTAAAAAGAAAAAGTCATATATTTCCCTTCCTTCGCATAATTTTTCACATTATTAGCCTTAAATTCACATAATTTTTCCATAATTTTTCACACATAGTCCTATCTGCCCATTGCCCATCTACACACCAATTTTGGTGTGTCACTTCATTTTCTCTTCGCTGTAAACAATTCTTTTTATATTTCGGGCAGGATTAAATTCGCGCTTAACCGGCGAACATGTTGAAACAGGAAATTTTTAGTTTTTGCAAATCGATAAAGCAAAAGTAACAATTTGTGTCTTCTATAGAAGATGGGTGACAAATGCAGAAGGCGATTGTGTGTTTCTAAACGATATCCAGCTTGCCCTGTAAGCCACCCATGCGAAGCCCTGTTCCAGCATGTGGAAGCATTGCGAAATATGCCATCTGACTTTTTTTACACACACACACACACACACACACACACACACACACACACACACACACACACACACACACACACACACACACACACACACACACACACACACACACACACACACACACACACACACACACACACACACACACACACACACACACACACACACACACACACACACA